GTAGAAATTATGCGTTCGGTGTGTATATAATGAAGTAGAGAAATAAGAGAAAAATATCATATGCATATGTCTATTATCTGCGTACATTTACGGTGTTCAACTTACCTATAGAGAAAAAATATCGCTCTGGGATCCTCACGAATACCCTACATTTCATATTCTGGCTGCGTTACCAGCGTGGTTGGTCCTTGTAGTGTAGTGGTTAACACATCGGACTAGAATACCGAAGACGTGGGTTCAAATCCTGCCAAGGGCATATGATATTTTTCTCTTATTTCTCAACCTAAAAGATGGTCTCCTTTGGAATTGAAAAACATTGACGTTTTAGCCAACAAACAGAAGTTTCAGGAGATAGTAGAACATGTATATTGATATTTGATGCACCTATATGCAAACTACAGGTACATCCTTGTTCAAGCAGAGGATATTAACCTTCACCAAGGTCAAGTGGTGCACTGGAGCTGAAATTGAGGGCAGGAGATGGGCGTGAGACCATCGCAAGAATGTGTAGTTCCAGAAAATATCCATACCCCACTCACAGAGGGAATGTAAAATTCTGGAGGGGAGGGGGGTCAGAGAAAGAACAAAATTACAGAGTTTGTATAGAAGAATTGGAAGTTCCTGGGGGTGGTAGGGTCTTTTTACAAATCCCCTTCATGTTGGGGGTGTGGATATTTTTTGGAACTACACAATGGTAATCTTTCATATAGGGACATTAGCCCATTATACTAAGGATTAATTGATAATTACAGTTTTATCTGGCTTCCAGTTAGATGAAGGTGGGTCAGGGGGTATGGGTGCTCCTTCTCTCAGTAAAGAACAAGTCTCTCGTGGAACGTCTGGCAAGTGTTTGAAGATCAGTTCAGCAGTCTGCTTGGCACGAGTCATGTCTGACACTATAATCTTGGTATATGGTTTATTCAAGCTTTTTAGCCTTTGTCCTGTAAGGTCTGCCTGAATCCTAGAAAAGAATTGAAATATTTTATATCTTTTATCAAAGTACATGTAGTATGGCTGGATAATTTCGAACCACAGGGACCCCAACGGAGTGATCACAGCCATGCGTCAAATACCAGCAAAGTATTCTAGTATTATTGAGAACTGTTCAGATTTATCAAGGAAGTAAACTGTTATCAAAAATAAAACTGCTGAATTTTTATACTTCAAGAATGTAAAATAGAGAAAGCGCAATATTTTGGTACCTTCCAATTTCCGTTAGAATCCTTTCTTCATCGTTGTCTTTGTCATCCTCGTACTGACCATGCCTAATGAAAATTAAGTGTCTCTTGGCCGTAGGCTTGATATCTGGTTCACTATCCGTGCTATCTGTTATCTTCATATCCTCTTTCTTTCTTCTTTTCCCGTTGTTTTCGTACAAATCCCAGTTGCTATCCCACTCCTGAAAGTTTGGCCTGTACAACATTGACAACCTATTCCTCAAGGCGCGGTCGTCTGAAGAGCTGTCTAAAGGCGACGCTAAAACGGGTTTCCGTACATTATTGTACACTACACAAGCACCAGACAACGAAGCAATGCCAATCACAGCCACACGAGTTAACTGTCTCAATCGGGACATTTTTTTAGCGCGTTTTTTTACAAATTCCAAAAGCTGGAACACGATCCCCAAAGTAACCAACACAAAGTAACCTAATAAACTATAAGACCGAGTCCCTTTCTTACATTGCTAGCAACGCCTGACAAGAATCGTGTTTTGTCTGTCTGTCCAAACATGGCGGGGGAAAGTTGCGTCCTGAGAGATTTTCCCGTGGAATCTCTGGACTTATTTCAACCTGAATTAGACGAACTATCTAAAGGTAAGTAAGCTTTTGTGTCATTAAACTTTGTATTATTTAAACTACTCGTAATGCAAAAAAATTAGACTTGCTGCATTTGAGATTCGTGCACGGTTCACGTGTTCTCTTTCACGCTTTTCTGTTAAAGTTCTCAAAATTTTATTGTTCTCATTTAAAGAAAAGAAATAAGACGTTCCATATCTTTGTTTTTAATCTTTATTTCAGTCCTTAGAGATGGCTTGAGTAAGAACTTTGCTGACGTGGATGTCAGTGTTGTTGATTGTCCTAACCTCCAAGAGTCGCCATGGAATCTTGCAGCCTCTGGTGAGAACACCCACTTGTCCTTAGAAATGTTTTAAAATCCTTGATTCATGTAATATGAACTAATGCATAAGAGTTTCAATTGACTGCCCACCTTCCCCTGATATGATATCTGTATTATTTTTTATTGTACAGGTATTTGTGGCAAACCAAAAATAGCTGATATTGGTGGACCCCCATATTTGCTTCCTTTGCCACAGCTTAATAAGGTATAATAAACCAAATCCACTTGAGCATCATGTTTTCCCATTTCAGACCACATGTTATTCTGTTGAAAATGAAATTCTTCATTTGAGTTGTATCAGTATTCCCCGGGGGTACTCTTGCCCGTTTAGGGTAGGGATGTGCCACTGAGCCCACTGAACCCTGACCCTGTTCCAGAGTAAAATCGCTGAAATTCATACCCTGTTCCAGAGCAAGATCCCTGAAAATCATAACCTATTCCAGTATTGCGAAAATGGATACCCTATTCCAGAGAGGAGAGAGCGTGATTTCATATACCCTGTCCCAGAGCGAGCACGATTTTATATACCCTGTTCCAGGTACGTGGAAACCTATTGAAACCTAGCAAAAATGGGGGGGGGCCCCCCCCCCCCCCCCCCCCGGGCCGTATTCATGTGTTTTCTTGTGCATGGCTGTTAAACAAAGAAATGACACTAATGGATGGACACAAGATCTGAATTGGGAAAACATTACACCCAAGTTAAATAAGTCTATAGACCCTTTGCAGCAAGGCAGAATAAAGCACAATTTGGAGGACATAACAATAGGTTTCCAATTTTCAGGAGATTGAAATTCTTTTGTTTTGTCCTCCAAATTGAGCTGCTTTGAGGTATCATGCAAGGGGTCTCTTGCAGGTCTAAATTAAGCTGTATCATGTTTATACAATACATATATTTGTATATGTTTATACAATACATATTGGAAATTAGATGGTTGTTCAATTATACATGCATGTTTTGCTGAAGAATTAGAAAGTTAATATGTCAATATTGTATTGTCCTGAATGGCATGTCATTTCATTTTTGTAGCTTTTAGACAAAAAATGTTATTGCAATGAGTATATTAATATATTTTGTACATCCTAGGTGTATGACATGAATGTTGTAGCAGAAAAGGCTGGTATTCCTGGTGGCTTTTTGATTGGAGCTGGAGCAGGAAGCCATTCATTTGTAGGAGTTAACTCTGAGGTAAGAGGTTGACCACATGACCAGAGGTTTAAATAGAAGGAGGCTATATACTGGTGGTATATGTACTTCACCTCATACCACCAGCTATTTTATGATCAAATGAAAAATTATTAATATATTAAGCTAGTAAAGAACACTGTATAGCAGATGTTTCTTTGATGTCAATTTGGACAAAGTCCAACAATTTTTGTGATATGGATTATTTATGTATTTTTCTTTGTGAATTTTCTATTTTTCTATTTAAGATGATGGCTAATATCCAAGTAGCTTCAAAAGAGAATGAAAAACCTGTTAATAAGACAAGAATTTCGAAAGTCAACCCTGAGGTATTTGCTGTTTACTATATTTACAAACATTGTAATATGTTAGTCTTATAAATTGATTGATTGGTTGATTGACAGATTGATCAATTGATCGATTGATTGATTGATTGATGTGTTGATTGATTGGTTGGTTGGTTGATTGATTGATTGATGTATTGATTGACTGATTGATTGATCAATGTATTAAATGCTTATTTAATTATTGATAAATTGATTTGATTGATTGATTGATTAATATATTGATTGATTGATTGATTGCTATTGATTGATTGATCAATTGATTGATTGACTGATTGATATTGATTGATTGATTGACGGATTGATTGATTGATTGATTGATTTACAGGATGGATCATGCATATTGCAAGACTGTGACTGCAGTCAGTTTGCATTAATGGCCAATCTTCTTATGACAGAAGGAAAACCTGGAAAGGCAAGTATTCAAATGAATTTGTTTTTCGATAAGCAGATCATCTGACAAGCTAGAGACGTGTTTGACCTTTCAAAACCAAAGTGTGGCTTGTCAAAATTAATGTCCAGTCAAGGTAAATCATTTACCAGTGAAGTATTTATTTTCACAAAACCTTTGTCTGATGATCAGCTCTTATTTGCAGCCTTGGAAAGGGGAATTAAACTGATTTCAAAAATCAAAAAAGTCTAAAAAATCTTACCATTGATAATCAATAAATAACTGTTATTTAACCATTAAACGTCATCCCTAGGTTGTAAGAGCTAAAGCCTCTAAGCGTACAGGAAACAACAATTTCATTACAGCCATGCGACTTGCTCTTGCTGAACATTATGGCAGTAAAACTGTTGGACTCGGCGGAGTATTTCTTATCGAAAAAGGAAAAGCCAAGTTTCATGTCATGGTAAGACTTAGAAATATGTAGTCTTAGAAAATATTAATACCTTCCATGGTGGGGATTCAGAATTTCCAAGGGGAGAGGGTCTGAGGAGGAATACATCGTGGGAAATTGGAATTTCCAATGGAAGGGGGTCTGAGGTTGATAATCACAGGAAAAGAATTAAAAGAACGGTTTTCTTAATGGAAACTATATATTTCCCATTACTGTGAGGATACTCCAACCAGAAAAACTTTGATAAACTAGTATTAATTATAAACCAATCTTATTGAGACATTTAGTTCAATATTTTAACCAGCCAATCAGATAGCACATTGATATGATAAGAGCATAAGAATGTGATAATCTGATTGGCTAACACTGTTATCTGTTCAACTTCTGTCTAGTTTGCTGTTATCTGATTGGTCAGTTTTATTCAAATGGTCCTGGTTAGTGTGTCCCCACAGTACAAATTAACCAGTGAAGCTATCTACTCTGGAAGCAAGAAGAAATGGTTTCAAAATCGTTCTTATAATTTGAAAAGGCTCTAAATTATCCTCTTGATAGTCATGAACAAAAATAATTACCCAATAAATGCTCGTAATGGATATTTTTATTACACCTACTTCCAAGAACGTTGTCATACAATATTAGAACACTAGTAATTTAGTGAGAAAGTAATACATTAAAAGACAAAAAAAAGTTCAGCTTTAGTGATCTTCTTTTGTTTTTTAATATAATTCCTATCCCACTAAATCACTAATGTTCTATTTCTGTATGCCAACGTTCTTGCAAGTAGGTGTACATCACAATATGCAAAGTATAACCTCTAATAATGCATTTGCATACTGTCTTAAATGCAAGGGCTTTTGCATTTAAAAGCTTATTTGGTAACAAAAAGCCAGTGCATAGAAGTATGCAAATACATTAAATGTGGTCATACTTTGGAGCATCACACTGTTAAGAATGTGGCTTTGCATTGACAGCCCCAATTTCAAGAAAAACCTCTCAACACTGATGAAGATGTGAACAGCTGGCTGAAATTCTACGACATGAAATCCCCTCTAGTTTGTGTTGGTGTTTTTGAAAGCCATGATCCAGTGAGTAAAATTATTATTTTTTAATACTAAATTATAAATATAGTTGGGTTTTTTTTCCATTTCTTTGTAGTGTTTTATATTGTTGTTTCAGTGCCGTAAACACCAGTATGGTTGTTCCGGTACGTTTTGACCACTCCACTTTTCTCCCTCTCGTAAATTTAAAAAAAAAATAAATTAAAGTAAATGAGTAAACAAGTAAAAAAAACAGGACTACCTTTTTAAAAAGCGGACCACTGTCCAAGTGGTGGCTACGGTCTTGTGTTATATAGTGCTTTGATCTTTTTCTTTAGCATTTCCATGGTTACTGTAACTATGGTGATAATAAATGCTGTAACTTTCATACCCATTTTAAATTTGCAGAATAATCAAAAATGTTTTTCTTTATTCATGATATGCCTCATTTGCTTATTCTAGGGTCTCGATCTTCGGATTGAGCATTTCCATGGTTACGGTAACCATGGTGAGGGTGGACACTACCACTATGACACTACGCCAGATGAGGTCCAGTACGTAGGATACTTTACGACTGCAGAGAGATTATTCCGAATGGACAAACCACAAGTGCAACGCAAGTTTGGAAGTGATTGAATCTAGTCTAGTAATTCACTAAGAATGGGAGAATAAAAATTGGGTTATATCTATGTTTATATGTATGAGGCGTCTTCTGATTGGAAAATATAATAGAAATAAAAAAATGGTACTTGTAGAAGGACGTTTCCACTGCAAACTGCTAGTCTTCATCAGGCGATAGTGTAGACTGGATGATGCTCTTGTTATATAACGCTCATCCAGTCTTCATCAGGCGATAGTGTAGCGGACTGGGTGGTGTGACTACCGCTCGTCGAATCATCTGTGTTATACATACGTACGCGTCATTCTACAAATGACCCTTAATCGTGAGACAAAGAATAAGTATCATTTATTATTCTTTGGTTCACACAGAATAATAAGTGTCGTAATCGAAAACCTAAGAAAAAGAAACCCTTCTGATCCTTCAGATTCCGACTATTTGTTCTTACTGGTTAAAATCTCCTTGTACGATTGTAAATGCCATTCCGACGCTAGACTTCGCTACGCCCCTGCTCACGTTGTGTTCTAATTTCTTGGTTATTAACCAGCATGGATACCCATTCATTTCTTTGACGCAATACTTTTTCAAGCTGCTCAAATTATAGTACTACTATAATTTGAGCAGCTTGAAAAAGTATTCCTTCACCAACTTTTGTTTGAAATAGAAGGTATCTCGGTGTTTAGACATTTTGGTAGGTTTTTTTACGAGTCTGCAGTGTTTTGTCGAGCCCGTTAGGGCAAGACAAAATATAAAGACGAGAAAAAAGAAAAAAAATGTCCACCCGTAATGCACCGTATAGAATGAGTAATATAACCTATTCCTTATCCAACTATAAGATTTCCCCCTATTATCGCAGGATATTTGTATTCGCTCCAGCCTTCTTCTACTGGATATAATAATAATAATTTTTTTTGTTATCTAAAATGCCTCGAGACTAAAAATTCTTTATTACTGATAGACTTAAAACTATCATTGAGTTCGAAAATTTACCATTTTGACAAAATAAAAACTTAAATAAAGAGAATTTTTATAAATAATTCATAGTTTTTGCCACTTGCGTCTGTCGCTCTGTAAAACAGTTTCCAACAGGTAGTTTTACTGGTCTCCAGAAGGAAAATAAAACGCGATAAGCAGTTTATTTGTAAATTGCGTTACAAAACATCATTTTCTGATCATACAGTCTTCAAAACAAAGAATATAACCTATCCCAATCTGATCTGAAGACTTAATGACGGACCGAGAGGACGGCGAAGGAGAGATCGGCGCGAACGCGAACGGAAATGGTACGTTCCTCGGTAAAGTTCGTATATAGATTTTCTGTTATTAATATAAATAAGTACACAAACGATATTGTTTTTGTAATGAACTGTAACTGAAGCTATAAGCCAGTTCATTGAATAGTAGCTCCTAAATAGTTTTTAAGATAGGGCCCGGGGGGGGGGGGGGGGGTACCCCCCTTTTTTTGCTATAGGGGTGTGTGCCGCCCTATGGGGTATGGTTTTTCGGCTTTTGGGTCTGGGGTAAGGTATCATTTTTGATATTTTGTCTGGGATAGGGTATCATTTTAGTCTGGGATAGGGTTATGATTTGGTCATTTTTGTCTGGCGAATAGGCTACGCTTTCTGCCTTCACAAAAACAATAAAAACGTTAGTAAATATTGATTGCAATCTGTTGAAAAACCGTCTTTTAGTCTGGGATAGGATGTACAATTCTTAGTTTTAGTCTGGGGTAGGGTATGTAAAATCAAAATTTTAGGTCTGGGATAGGGTCAGGGTTTTGAGGTCCTGGCGGCACACCCCTACCCAAGTTGGGGTGGTAGTACCCCCCCGGGAGATATGGTAATATATGATAAATAGAATGATAAGAATTTAACATAGGAACGCCAAAAATACGTACATTGGTTAATGATAGACTTTGATGATAAAATCACAAAAATCGGCTGAAACATATAAAGCAATGTTAATGATTTTTGATTCTCCATTTAGATATTTGAAATAAATTGTTCAATATTTCGACGCATTAAGTCTGCTTTTTAGTTATCGGATTGTGATTCGAATCATGGAAATACTTAGGCCCCGTCCACACGTATCCGGAAATTTTTGTATCCGCAATTTTTTTTTTTTTTTTTTTTTTGCGGATACGGGTTGCGTCCACACGTGTCCGGAAATTTTTGTGTCCGTATCCGCAAATTTTACGAAAACGACGCTGCGTGTGGACGCGAACATTTTCGTATCCGCAAAAAATAATTTGCGGATACAAAAATTTCCGGATACGTGTGGACGGGGCCTTAAACAATATTTTCGACTCTAGTCGTTCTAGCGTTTTCGCACTACTTCATAGGCGTAATTGCAGACTTCGCAGGCGTAATTCAATGGGATGTTATATAGGTATATTTTTATAGGTGTTATGATTTAAGTAGCATGAATTGGAAGCACGATGGACCACGTATTTAGAAGTTGCTCGGTAGTGTAATACCAGTTTGCGGGTCATTGACTTTGCCAGGGCGCTAATTAGCGCCCTGCTGAAGACCCCTGAGTACTATTGCGCAACTTGTCAATTTTGTAGGGGAGGAATCAAGACGAAAACAAGACCCTGGTGGCAGGGTTACCTGGTTTCATAGACTCTAAGAATCCAAAGGAGAAGGGAGAATAAGTCGCAAAGTTTCAAAATACAGTGACAGAGCTAATAATGTAGAATGAAAGGCAAATGTGGCAAAACGATTTTGCCAAATTTCATAATAATCGTAAAACTAGACGCACTTTGGTGCGTTTACTCGGGCTACCATCAAGATGTCCAACTGATATTAGATATTCTAATATGCCTGCTTAGAGTAAAACAAGACGCTCTTGAAGCGTGCACTGGGTTGCCCAATGTGCTGGTATGCTGGAGCTTATTTAACTCCTAATCTTTATTATGTACCGCTATTTTGGAGGAGGGGGTACTTTGGAACGTTTTAGGTGTATATTTTTTAGAACTTTGATACCACGGGTATCCCAGTAAAAAAAACAAAGTTATTTTATGAGAGTTTTACCACAGGAAATCCGCTAATAATAAAATAAGAAATATTGTTTCGTTTTGTTGATTTTGCTTCGGCTGTTTATAATAAAAACTTAAGTGACATCAATACATTAAATTTTTTACCTATAAAGTTCAATTTATGAGTCACCAATTATACAACTTTTCTTTTCGCTGACGCATTAAACCAATCTTCCTACTATGTTGATCATAAACCAATCAAGCACAACAAATATATTTTGTCAATCTAATGTTTTACGATTGTCATATAAGATTGGAATTTAAACAAAAAGGTAATGTTAACCTAAGAGAAAATATCTTACTTTACAGTTGGAATAGTTTGTGCCAGTGCCGCTAAAACAAAAAAAACTCTAATCGGATCTGAAGACTTAATAGAGAATTAAGATTCGCAAAATCTACGACGGCGACGTCAACCGGAAGTGTAAATAATTTCTTTTGGGGTTCTGTTCATTGGAAATTTTATTCAAAACATTGTCAGTAAAGTCAACTCATCCACAAGGAATACAGACTTTTAAGACGTGAAACCCTAAAGTGAAGTTGTTTACACTTCCGGTAGACGTCGCCATCGCAGATTTTGCAAATCTTAAAGTCCCTAATGACGGACCGAGAGGACGGCGAAGGAGAGATCGGCGCAAATTCAAAGGGTTCCAACGGGAATGGTACGTTCCTCGGTAAAGTTCGTATATGATCTTCTGTTATTAATATAGATAAGTACACAAATGATATCGATTTTGTAGTTAATTGTAACTTAAGTTATAAGCCAGTTTATTGAATAGTAGCTGCTAAATAGTTTTCAGTGCCTACTACAAAGTAGAAGACACTATTGTCATCGGGTTGTGTATAAAGTAACTCTGTCACGCGTAACTATCAATTAAATAAAAAAAGCATATTTTCATAACTTATACCTGTCAATCGCCAAACAGAATCACATATGAAGTAGAAGAGACCTCAAGGGAAAACTGGTCTAAGTCTGGGAGAGCATTGTGGCTTTTTCATCGAGAAAACGAGGAAAACGTTCCTCAAAATATGATCGCCGTTTTGTTTCAGTCACGCAACAGTTGCACAAAATGAATCGGTATAACACATGAAGCCCAAATTACACCTATGTAAATGATCATGAAGTATTTCATTACTTGTGTTATACCTGTTAATCCCCATAATACTTTCCAACTGTTGATGTGTTTTACCATCGAGTTCCCAGCTATCACTATTGTAGGTTTTGACTTTTTTGGGAGCCTCAGGTTGAGCGTCTTTAGGTGAGGGGCTGTTTTGGTTTTCTCTTGAAACGAGAGAAATATATTGCTGAAAAAATCGTCGATCTTGGAAGATTATATCAATTATAGAACGATCGGACGATTCCTTGAATGCTAAGATAAATTAGGTCAACAAAATCGTTGCTAAATTTGCTAGGCAAAACCACTGGTCATTCCCCTCAAATTCTACAAAGAACACCTGAAAGCAAGAGTACGCAAGTCTAAGTGTCCTTGGATTAGTTAGCATCTGAAAGATTTGACTATGCACCATAGAGATGAAGCCGTAGGCCGAGTCAAATTTAGAAGTCAGAGGAATTTTTCGAGTCTAATTATTTCTTGATTGGGGAGCATGAAATCCCATATTACCTATTAATTATATAGCTGCCTAATTTATCCCATCTCAACAAGACCTGTCCAATTAAGAAAATAATTGGACAGTTACCTATATGGGATTAATGAGAAGCCGTATAATTAATGAAGTAACCTCACGTGTAAATAATAAACGTCCACGTAGAGCAGGTTTTTATTTTAACTTCCTTCATCGCTTTTCTATTCATGATTGTTTCAAATTTTTATTGTTTTATTACTGATTCGTATTTAACATTCCCTTGTAAATACATTTATATTTAATTATTGTGATTATCATGAAGGACACATCGTGGGTAAATAAAGTTATCTTATCTTATCTTATCTTAACAGGAAGGAGTAATTCTATGTTCAAACACTAATTTTTAGGTTGCGACAGCCCCTCCCCCTAACCCCCTCCCCCCCGAAAAAAGTGTCCCCCCCTCCGACTTTTCCTTCTTTACTGAGCTACCTGTGGTTTTGGCGGGAATTTTCGCGTCAAAATAAACGCGCGCGTGTGATCGCCCCTCCAACTCTGGTACTCTTTTAATTCCTTCTTTCGTTCCCAAAACTCTTTCCAAAATTGAATGAGACTCTAGAGACTTCAAGTTTCGCTTAAAAAAGTTTAAAGCAGGAGACAAATTTATTGAATCTTTTTAAATGTCTATCCTTCTAGATTGTTCTCTCACATTCACCGTGGAAGACGCCATTGATAAAGTGGGATATGGAAAATTCCAGTTAAAGCTTCTATTTATCATTGGGTTTGCTTGGGTAAGTAAAGGCTATAAAATCATGCAGACCAAATGTCATTCTATTGAGTATTATTTCTTTGTTTCTTAGTAATTAAAGTGCA